ATTCGATCATGGCTGATATGTTTCTCAACCCCATTCTCCTGCCTTCTGCCCATAACCTATGATCCCCTTAGTAATCAACAAACCTAGCTATCTCTGTCTTAAAGACACTCAATGACTTGGCTTCCACAGCCTCCTGCAGCAATGAGTTCTACAGATTCACCACCTTCTGACTGAAGAAATTCCTCCTTATCTCAGTTCTAAAGGGTTGTCCCTTCACTCTCAAGCTGTGCCCTCGGGTCCTAGTCTCTCCTGTGAGTTTGACTGATTGATTGTCACTTGTACTGAAGTACAGTGAAAAGCTTTGTTTATGAGCAGTACAGACATCATAGTAAGCAAGGATGAATAGATCAGATGTCGTAAAAAGACTTAGACAGAGGCATACAGATTACATTGTACAGGGTGTGCGGTAGGTATGATCAACGTTAGCAAGATCAGCATTATTTGAGGCTAGAGAGTCCATTCATCAGTCTAATAACAGCTGGAAGAAGCTGTTCCTGAATCTGCTAGTGTGTGTGTTCAGGCTTCTGTATTTTCTGTCTGATGGAAGAGGTTGTAGGAGATCATTATCAGGGTGCTATGGGTCCATGATGATGTTGGCAGCCTTTCTGCTGCAACAAGCCATGTAAATGGAGTCCATGGATGGAATAGATAACACAGTGTGGAGCTGGAGGATCACAGCAGGCCAGGCAGCATCAGAGGAGCAGCAGAGTTGACATTTTGGGTCCCGACCTGAAATGTCAACTTTCCTGCTCCTCTGATGCTGCCTGGCCTGCTGTGTTCCTCCAGCTCCACACTATGTTATCTCTGACTCCAGCACCTGCAGTTCTTACTATCTCCTCGAATGGAATGTTGGGTTCCATGATGGTCTGGGTTGTGCACACCACCTTCTGTAGTTTCTTACAATCCTGGGCAGAGCAGTTGCCGTACCAGGCCGTTATGCACCCGGACAGTTTGCTTTCAATGGTGCATCTGTGGAAGTTGGTAAGGACATACTAAATTTCCTGAGCCGCCTGATGAAGAAGAGGCGTTGTTGTGCCTTCTTGACTGTTGCATCTATGTGGGAAGTCCAGCACAGGTTGTTGGTTATCATCACTCTGAGGAATTTAACGCTGTCCACCCTCTCAACTTCAGCTCCGTTGATGTAGATGGGGGTGTGTTCTCCTTTCTTTCTTTCTGAAGTCAATGGTCAGTTCTTTAGTTTTCCTGACGTTGAGAGAGATGTTGTTCTCGTTGCACCATGTCATTAAGCCCTCTGTCTCCCTTCTGTATTTGGAAACATCTTCTCCATGTCCACTCTATCCAGGCCTCTCAGTATTCTATAAGTTGCAATGAGATCCCCCTTCATCCTTCTAAACTCCATTGAGTGCAGACCCAGAGTTCTCAACCATTCCTCATATGACAAGTCCATCATCCCCCGGATCATTCTTGTCAGCCTCGTCTGGAACCCCTCCAATGCCAGCACATTCATCCTTAGGTATAGGGCCCATAACTGTTCGCACTATTCCAAATCCTGTCTGATCAGAGCCTCAGTGATAATAGGAACTGCAGATGCTGGAGAATCTGAGATAACAAGGTGTAGAGCTGGATGAACAAAGCAGGCCAAGCAGCATCAGAGGAACAGGAAGGCTGACATTTCGGGCCTAGACCCTTCTTCAGAAATGGGGGAGGGGAAGGGGTTTCTGAAATAAATAGGCAGAGAGGGGGAGGCGGATAGAAGATGGATAGAGGAGAGGATAGGTGGAGAGGAGACAGACAGGTCAAAGAGGCGGGGATGGAGCCAGTAAAGGTGAGTGTAGGTGGGGAGTTAGGGAGGAGACAGGTCAGTCCAGGGAGGATGGACAGGTCAAGGGGGCGGGATGAGGTTAGTAGGTAGGAGATGGGAGTGGGGCTTGAGGTGGGAGGAGGAGATAGGTGGGAAGAAGGACAGGTTAGGGAGGCAGGGACGAGCTGGGCTGGTTTTGGGATGCGGTAGGGGGAGGGTAGATTTTGAAGCTTGTGAAATCCACATTGATACCATTCGGCTGCAGGGTTCCCAAGGGGAATATGAGCTGCTGTTCCTGCAACCTTCGGGTGGCATCATTGTGGCACTGCAGGAGGCCCAGGATGGACAGGTCGTCTGAGGAATGGGAAGGGGAGTTGAAATGGTTCGCGACTAGGAGGTGCAGTTGTTTAGTGCGAACCGAGCATAGGTGTTCTGCAAAGTGGTCCCCAAGCCTCCGCTTGGTTTCCCCGATGTAGAGGAGGCCACAATGGGAACAGCGGATGCAGTATACCACATTAGCAGATGTGCAGGTGAACATCTGCTTGATGTGGAAAGTCTTCTTGGGGCCTGGGATGGGGGTGAGGGGGGAGGTGTAGAGGCAGGTGTAGCACTTACTGCGGTTGCAGGGAAAAGTGCCAGGTGTGGTGGGGCTGGAGGGGAGTGTGGAGCGGACAAGGGAGTCACGGAGAGAGTGGTCCCTCTGGAAAGCAGATTAGGGTGGGGATGGAAAAATGTCTTTGGTGGTGGGGTTGGATTGCAGATGGCGGAAGTGTCGGAGGATGATGCATTGGATCCGGAGGTTGGTGGGGTGGTACGTGAGGACGAGGGGGATTCTGTTTTGGTTGTTATTGCGGGGATTACGTAGGTTACGTGGAACAATCCCTCTTCCGTACCTACACTGGCCCTAAACCCCACCTCTTCCTCTGTTACATTGATGACTATATCGGCGCCGCCTCGTGCTCCCACGAGGAACTCGAACAGTTCATCCACTTCACCAACACCTTTCACCCCAACCTTAAGTTCACCTGGACCATCTCTAATACCTCTCTCTCCTTCCTGGACTTCTCTGTCTCCATCTCTGGCAACCACCTAGAAACCGATATCCATTTTAAGCCCACCGACTCCCACAGCTACCTAGACTACACCTCCTCCCACCCACCTTCCTGCAAAATTGCCATCCCCTATTTCCAATTCCTTCGCCTCCACCACATCTGCTCCCAGGATGAGGCATTCCACTCCCGTACATCTCAGATGTCCTCGTTTTTCAAGGACCGCAACTTCCCCCCCTCAGTGGTCGAGAACGCCCTCAACCGTGTCTCCTGCATTTCCCGCAACTCATCCCCCATACCCCCTCCCCGCAATAACAACCAAAACAGAATTTCCAACATTGTATTCCATCCATCACTTTTTTGCTGACACTCCTAGCCTGTCCAAGTCCTTCTACAACCTCCTCGCTTCTTCAACACGAACTCCACCTATCTTTGTGTCATCTGCAAACTTAGCAACAATGCCCTCAGTTCCTTTGTCCGGATATATTTTTGCAGATGACTGCTTCCCTGTGAGAATGGCTTTGGCTTTCTTTCTGCTCTTAGTGCTACCTAGAGGTGATGTTCATATGATACTCCACCTTTGGACAAAATCTCAAACACTTCCAGAACCAGAATCACAGTCTAAGGATATGGGGTAGGCCGTTTAGGACTGAACGAGGAGAAATTTCTTCACCCAGAAACTGATGAACCTGTGGAATTTTCTGCCACAGGAAGCAGCTGAGGCCAAAACATTGAATGTTTTCGAGAAGGACTTACATACAGTTCCTAGGTTTAAAGGGTATGGGGCAAAAGTGGGAACAAGGTACTGGATGTTAGCCAGATCATGTTGCATGGTGGAGCCGGCTTGAAGGGCCAAATGGCCTCCTACTGTTCCTAGTTTTAACTTTTCAATGTTTAAAAAGGAAATGTTTACGTAGCTTTGGGCAAAGATCAAGACAGCAGAACAATGACGGGGTAGAGGATACATAGGAACATCACCACCTGCGAGTTCCCCGCTAAACCCCGCTGTTCCTTCAGCATCAAAATCCCAGACACAGAATTATGGGTACACACACACTCACACTCACTCAAATTCACACTCACACTCACACACACACAGTCTCAAACACACACACACTCACTCAGTCTCAAACACACACACACTCACACTCACACACATACTCAGTCTCAAACTCACACACACACACACTCAGTCTCAAACACACACACACTCACACTCACACACACACACACTCACACTGACACACATACACTCACACTCACACACACTCAGTCTCAAACACACACACAATCTCACACTCACACACACACACACACACACAGTCTCAAAAACACACACACACACACACTCAGTCTCAAACACACACACACTCTCACACTGACACACACACACACACACACACACACTCAGTCTCAAACACACACTCACACACACACAGTCTCACTCACTCACACACACACACACACCCACACACACACACATAGTCTCACACACACACACAGTCTCACACACACACACAGTCTCACACACACACACACTCACACACACACACACACACACACAGGCTCAGTTCAGAAAGGCACTCATAGAGTCATATAGAACGGAAGCAGACCCATCAGTCCAACCAGTCCATGCCGAACATAATCCCAAACTAGTCCCACCTGCCTGCTCCTGGACCATATGCCTCCAAACCTTTCCTATTCATGTACTTATCCAAATGTCTTTTGAAAGTTGTAATTGTACCCACATCCACTACTTCCACAGGAAGTTCGTTCCACACGCAAACCACCCTCTATGTAAAAAATTGCCTCTCATGTCTTTTTTAAATCTCTCTCATCTCACGTTAAAAATGTGCCCCCTTGAAATGCCAAGTCTTGAAATCCCCCATCCTAGGGAAAAGACAACTACCATCAATTCTATGTGTACCTCTCATTATTTTATAAACTTCTATCAGGTCGCCTCTCAACCTCCTACGCTCCAGTGAAAAAAGGTTTGGCATGATGGATCAAATGGCTTTTGAGATTCTATGAATATGCAAACCTTCAACTTTTTCAGACCTTAATGTGTTAATGATTGGACAGAATTATCAACATTCAGAAATTACTGATGGTAAAGAGAAAATACAAAATGAGTTCACCCCAATTCTGTGCAAGTTTTCTCAAGGTTTTGAACTCCAAATCAAGTCTACCTTTTGTTGCTGCAATTCTCGCTCCATCCTCATCAGTTCCTGCTGAACTAAAGTGGCATTATCTTCTGCCAACCTTTTCCTCCTCTTCATTGCAGCTGCGTAGAGCTGATCAAGTTCAGTGTGGAACAGTGCAGTGTTCTGCCATGTGTCAGGAGGATTAAAGTTAGTACAGTCCCAAATAAGGCAACGCCATTCTGCATATTTAAATCTGACAGCTCACATACTAGAATGCCGATATTCTTATCATGTGCTTCACACATGGAGTATTGACAGCAGATCAGGAAGTTACAGGGGACGCTGTGATGTAGCAGTAATGTCACTGAATTACTTTGCATCAGCTCAGGCTAATGTTCTGAGGACATGGGTTCAAATCCTACCATGACAAAAATGGTGAAATTTTAAATGCAGTTTTTAAAAACCTGGAATAAAAAGGTAGCTTAATGGTGGCCAATTGTTGTGAGGTCCCATCTGCTTCACAAACATCCGTTAGGGAAGGAAATCTGCCAATTTTACCCAGACTGGTCTACATGTGAGGCCAAACCCAAAGCAATGTGGTTGACTCTTAATTGGGCAATAAATGTGGTCCTAGCCAGCAACGCCCACATTCCATGAATGAACTTAAAAAGAAGCCCCTTTTTGCTGTTTTTTGGAATTCCCTACGATTTTCCAAGACTCCACCAGGGACGTATGGGTGGCAAGAGCCAGGACTGGAAAATTAATTTCCACTTGGGCACCAGACGGTGAGTGAGGCAATGCCCATCTCCACTCTCTCCATTCTAGCACTTCACCACAGTGCCTGGCCGGTGGGAACATGGATCATAGTGTGGGCCGAGGAAGTCCCAATGCCCAGGGTGGTGTCAGCTGTAGCTGCTCCTGAGTCAGAATGCCTTGGCTTCACCTGCTACATTCCAAGAGACTTCACGCAAATAAATGGGCTAACACCTCCAATGTAGCACTGAGTGAGTGCTACTCTGCCAGAGCAGCCATCTTTGGGTGAGATACTAAAACAGGGCCTTCTCTCCCCCCTCAGCTAGAACAATAGCAACATTTAAGGGCCATCTTGACAGATATATGAATAGGCAGGGAATATAAGGATACAGACTGTTTAGAGGCAAAAGGTTTTTAGTTTAGAAAGATGTCATTGTGTCAGTGTAGTCTTGGTGGGGTGAAGGGCCTGTTTTCTGTGCTGTACTGTCCTTTGCTGTACCAGCAGGGCTGAGGTGATGGCCTAGTGGTATTATCACTAGACTATTAATCCAGAGACCAAGGTAATGTTCTGGGGTGCTGAGTTGAATCCCATCACAGCAGATGGTGAATTTTGAATTCAGTTTTATAAAAGATCTGGAATAGACGGCGGCAAGGCAGAGGAGGAAGGAAGGCAGTGCAGGTCTCATTGATGATGAGCTGGGTCAGGACTGATGGACTGTCTTTAAGCTGTATCTTCCTATTTTGTTTTTTATACATAAACTATTCAAAATGGTATCAGATTATGGTGACAGTGGAAAAGCTTTTCACTGTATTTTACTGTTTTTCTCATTGTAAAATAAAATCATTCATAAACCAGGAAATAATCATCATAAAACCCCATCAGGTTCAATACCGACCTTTAGGGAAGGAAGCTAAGTGTCCTTACCTGATGTGACAGCAATATGGTTGATTCTTAACTGCTCCCTGGGCAATTAGCAATGGGCAATAAATGCTGGTCCAGACAGTGATGCACATGTCACATAAACAAATTTCAAAAAAACTCCCTGTACAATACCTTTTCCTCAAACTTAAAAACAGATAATCTGGCTATTTCACACATCGCTAAACTTGGGAGCTTGCTGTGCACAAATTGACTGCACTTCAAATATGCAGCATTGACTGCAAAGTATATTGGGACTTCCTGACCCCACCTAGAGGTGCAATAGAAATGCAAGTCAATTCTATTTAATTAAATAGCTCACCTATCTAACCTGTGATGACAATCTGCCCTCCCATTTCCTTCCCCTTTGAGTGAGGCCTCATGGCAGGAGTGAAGTTGCACCAGATATTTCCCATTATCTTTAAACAAGACGAGAGAGGGTGATTCGTTTTTTTCAGAAGCTGGTCGATACCATCAGACACCCCCTTAGGCCAGAGTGGCCATCGACTCACTGCAGGTAGACGTGACTTCTGAAGCAGAGCTGCAATTAGTGGTGTAAATGTTCTTTGGGAGAAATATTAAAATTAGGTCTTGTCAGTCTGACCATCTAGTTATTTTCTAATGGACCTGTTATGACAAATCTCTGGAGCAGTGGGACTTATACCTTTGTTAGCACAGCACCAGAAGAGCTCCGTGTGGCAGCTTACGTAATAGAACACAAATAAAATCAATCCAAAGGAAATTGTTCGCTGTAAAAAGGCAATGCCTACCTTCTTGTGATTGAATGTGAATAGCCTTTTATCAAACATCACTATTTATATGGCGATGGTAGGAGAAGATTTTCTGATGAGGCTGGACAGACTCAGGTTTTGGTTTTACGTGATCTAACTCTGATGTAGGCCTTTTCGCACATGCTCTGTGGCTTTTGTAGAATCACAGAATTATTATAGGGCAGCAGGAGGCTATTCAGCCCATCGTGCCTAGTCCAGCTTTATTACCTCCTGCCTTTACCCTGCACACCATTTCTACCCAAATAATCATCCAATGTCCTTTCAAATGCCTCAGTTGAACCTGCTTCAAGCACATTTCCAGGCGGTGTATTCCATACCCTAACTACTCACTGGGTGAAAATGTTTTTTCTCACATCACCCTTGCTTATTTTGCACATCTCTTTAAATCTATGCCCTCTCATTCTTGTTTCTTTTACAAGCAGGAACAGTTTCTCCCTATCTACTACATCCAATGCCCACGATTTTGAAAACCTCTATCAGATCTCCCCTCAGCCTTCTCTCCAACACCAGGTTATAGTCCAACAAGTCCATTGAAATCACAAACGTTTGGAGCGTTGCTCCTTTGTCAGGTGAAGTGTGAGAGAAGCACACAGACACTGAATTTATAGGCAGTGAGATCAAAGGGCAGAGAGATCAAAAGATCATATAAATGGTGTGAGAGGAGTGTTGACAGGCCAAATCATAGGTCGGTTAAGTGTCCTCCAAGGCCTTTGATATATACAACAACGCAGAATCACCGAGCAGAGACTGATAGCCAAGTTCCATACCGATGAAGACGGCCTCAACTGTGATCTTGGGTCCATGTCGCACTAAATGTGACCCCACCATATTGTTCTGTTGGTTAGACCCTCAGCATGCGACTCTTATACCTATCAGTTTTTCCAGTCATTTAGTTTGTCTCCAACACCACCTTATTATTAATTTTTTAATAATTATCTCTCTGCCTCATTTAATCAGATTATACGTCATCCCTCCACTTGTTATTCAGCTGTTGACACCGTCTGACACACTTGATCACCTGCGGAGTTTGTGACCAATAAGGGCTCAATAAATGCTGGTCCAGCCAGCAATGTCTTTATCTCATGAACGAAATAAAATAAATTGTCAACTCTTTTTTGGCACTCACCGCGTGGCCCAGCTCAGCCCAGTTCTGCAGTTTCTGTCGGATGTGATGTAGACCTTTCTCTTCTGACTGCAGTGTCTCTCTTAATCCCTGGATCCCACTGAGTAATGTCCTTGTTTCATCCATACTCCTGCTCCCAGCTTTTCCAACACAAGTTTGGACATTAGTGTAAAACCATTTGAGACAAGAGGGCTGTGGTAAGAGCAGTATATCTCCATCCAGACAGAATGCTACTCAAGAGGTCCCAGACTGACTGAGTGGATCAGTGCATTATAACAACAGACATGTAGACAGCAATTAAAAACACAATAAAGTAACCCGAGGTAATTCACAGGAGTATTCTAAAGCAAAATTTGAAACTGAACCACGTAAAGAGATAGTAGCAAAGGCGTCTAAAAGCTTAGTCAAGGCATTGCCAAAGGTTTTAAGGAGAGTTTTAAAACAGGAGACAGAGGTGGAGAAAAATACAGCGATGGACAACATTAGAAATTGCTGGAAAAGCTCATCAGGTCTGGCAGTACCTATGGAGAGAAAGCAGAGTTTATGTTTTGGGTCTAGTGACCCTTCTTCAAAGAGTAGCTACTGGAAAGGTTTGATGAGCGGGAGGCAATGGCCTCGTGGTATTATCGCTAGATTGTTAATCCAGAGACCAAGGCAATGTTGTGGGGACCTGGGTTTGAATCCCACCATGGCAGATGGTAGAATTTGAATTCAATAAATATCTGGAATTAAGAGTCTAATGATGACTGTGAATTGATTGTCAGGAAAAACCCATCTGGTTCACTAATGTCCTTTAGGGAAGGAAACTACCATCATTACCTTGTCTGGCCTACATGTGACTGCAGACCCACAACAATGTGGTTGACTCTTAACTGCCCTCTGGGCAATTAGGGATGGGCAATAAATGCTGGCCTGGCCATCAATGCCCTCATCCTGTGAATGAATAAAGAAAACTAAAGGGAATTCCAACGCATAACACCTGGGCAGCCAAAGGCATGCTGCTGCCAGTGGTGGTGAGATTAAAGTTGGGAATGTGCAAGAGATGAGAGTCAGAGGAGCGGACAGATTACTGATGGTTGTAGGGCTGGAGCAGTCAGGAGGGATGAGGCCTCTAAAGAATTTGAAAAGATAGAGGCATAGCCTTACAGGGCCAGGAGCTAGTATAGAGCAGCAGGTAGATAGGGTAATGGTGAATGTGGACTTGATCCAATTCAACATGAGTTGGGGATGAGTTTGGATCATAGGAACATGAGCCAGTCATTTAGACCTTTGAGCCTATTTCTTCAATCAGTAAAATCATGCCTGGTCTATGACAGAGCTTTGGATGAGCTCCAGTTTCTGAATAGTGTCTCTATGGATTCTGTGTTTAAGGATGTTGTGTCTAAGAATACTGTGCCTATTGGTGCTGTACTGTTTGGATTTTTTAGTCTATGGATGCTGTGTCTAATACTGTTTTAGTTAAGGATGTTGTGTCTATGGATGTTGTATCTATCAATGCTGTAGTCTATCAATGCTGTGATCTATTGATGCTGTAGTCAATAGATGCTGTGACTAGTGTATGGATACTATAGTCTATGGATACTGTAGTCTATGGATGCTGTAGTGTATGGATACTGTGTCTAAGGATGTTGTGGTCAATCAATACTGTAGTCTGAGGGTGCTGTCATCTATGGATGTAGTGCATAGTCTCTATAAACTATAGGAATAACAGGTGAGAGCTTGGGTTACTGCTCAGCTAGTCCATTCTAGGTTTCACAGAAAATGGACTCAGTTCCATGAGTTCCTAATAAAAGAGTGTATTTCCTATAGAAATTAGTTCTGTGGTACTCACTGGTGAACAGCTGACCCTTGCTGTAACATTCCTCTGTTCATGAAGCAGTTGTTTATAGTCTGTATGTTTTAACATGAATTAAAACTTCCCAAGCCCAAGGTGTCTACATTTTGGAAACATAAGAGTAGCAGATACTTGGAGACAGTACACCTCCAAGCTCCCATCCAGGTCTCACATACCAGTCTGGCTTGGACATAACCTTGATTATGGATTTAATCAATGTCTTGATTAAATTTGCCACTTTTGCAATGACCCGGGGAGTAACGGCACTCGAGTATAAGCACCATTTCCCAAGTGGACCAAGACCAATCATAAAGGCTAGCACAAACCTATTAGGCCAAATGGCTTTTTTGTTCTGTGGTGGTACTTTCTATATAATTTAGAATCATGGAATTTGACAGTACAGAAGTAGGCTATTTGATCCATCATGCCTGTACTGGCTCCTAAAAGAGCTACCCAGCTAGTCCCACCCTCCAGCCCTATCTCCATAGCCTTCTAAATTCATCACTTTCAAATATATATCCAGCTCTCTTTTGAAACCTCTGATGGAATCTGCCTCCACCATTCACCCAGGCAGCACATGCTGACAACTCTCTGAGCTAAGATGTTTTTCCTCATCTCACTCTTAGCTGTCATGCTGACAATCTTGAGATTGTGACTCCCTAGTTAGTGGCATACCAACTAGTGGAAACAGAATATCCTTAACACTGTCAAAATTGTTCATAATTTTGAACACCTCAATTAGGTAAGCTTTTAGTCTTCTCTACTCCATGGAGAATAAGCCCAGTTTTGCTAATTTTTCCTGGTATCTAAAATTCCTCCGTCTTGGTCTCATTCCAATAAATCTTTTACACTCTCTCCAGGGCTTTAACATCCTGCATTAAATAAGGTGCCCAGAAATGAACACAGTACTCGAAATGCAGTCTGACCAATGATTTGCAAAGGTGTAGCATCACTTCCTTGCTTTTTGGAGTCATTAAACTCCTTAAAACCTGCAGTCTGTTTTCCTTCACCTTTGAGATATTGGGCCACCAACTCCTTCAGTTGCTCTTTAAACCTCCTGATGTGTTGCATTTTCAGGCTATACTGCTGAGCTAGACCACGCTGGGACCTGGAGGACGGTTGCTCACACTGTGACGGGACACATCCTGAGTCCGGATCCTGTAACCCCTGTCAGAAAAAGATCATGTGGTCAAGTTTTGTTTTGATGAAGTCAACAATCTCGGTGCACACTCAGTTGAAATTTTTCTTACAAAGCGAAGTTTATGGTTTCAAGTTTATTTGCATAATCGCAAAAATTACTACAACATATAAAAGGCAAAATACTGTGACTGCTAGAAATCTAAAACAAACACAGAATACTGGAGAAACTCAGCAGGTCTGGCAGCATCTGTAGAGAGAGAAACAAACTCTAAAGTTTTGAGTCCAATGTGACTCTTATTCAGAACTGAAATGTACTAGAATATTTGTTATATATGTTTGATAGACACAGAAACCCTGTGCAAAAGACAAAGAGGAAGAGAAAAAGAGATGTGAAAGGAGAGAGCTGGTCCTCTCTCTTGTCTGTGTCTTGTTTAGATCATCATCAAATCGTTACAGTGTGGAAGGAGGCCATTTGGCCCATCGAGTCCACGCTGACCCTCCGAAGAGCATCCCATCCATATCTCAGCATTTCATACGCACCCCTGGACACTATGAGCAATTTACTGTGGCCAATCCACCTAACCTGCACATCTCAGGACTGTGGGAGGAAACCAGAGCACCTGGAGGAAACCTACACAGATGCAGGGAGAATATGCAACCTCCACTCTAACAGTCACCCATGGCTGGAGTCAAACCCAGGTCCGTGTGAGGCAGCAGTGCTAACCACTGAGCCACTGTTCAACCCTAATGAGAGATCAGCCCTATGGTCCCATAGGACTATGGCAACATTACATTTTAATCATCAGTTTCTGAGTGATATAACGTTTTAAAAGATTGACTCAGTTTTTTGTGCAACTGAAATAGACTGGCTACCTTTGAAGAAACTGCTCAAACAAATGGAATTGACATAAACCTGCCATGATAATTAAATTGTCCTACGGGAGTATGGTCTGTTTGTATGAGCAGAGTGGGCTGCCAATGTAATACCTTTCTCAACCTGGTGCAAAAGATAGTGGGATCTCAATTTGCACTGGGTGTAATATTCGCTTGAAAACAATCTTTTACACTGGCTTGCTGCATTTTGGGAAAAACACTGGCAGTGTCTCTAGGCCAACAGAGACCCTGATCCAATTTCAAAGAGATGATTGGGACCACATCCACAAGCATCCAGTCTGTCCACCGACGCTCAGTAGCAGCAGTGTGTACTATCTACAAGATGCAGTACAGAAATTCACCAAGGATCCTGAAACAGTACCTTCCAAACCTATGACCATTTCCATCTAGAAGGACAACGGCGGCAGATACATGGGAACACCACCTCCTGAAAGTTCCCCTCCCAACCACTCACCATCCTGACTTAGAAATACATCGCTGTTCCTTCACTGTTGCTGGGTCAAAACCCTGGAATTCCCTCCCTAAGGGCATTATGGGTCAACATCAAGTACATGGACTGCAGTGGTTCAAGAAGGTAGTTCACCACCACCTTCTCAAGGGCAGCTAGGGATGGGCAATAAATGCTGGCCCCGCCAGCAATGCCCACATCTCATGACTGCATTAAAAAAAGCACTTTTAACACAGTAAAGCATCCGAAGGTGCTCAATGGGAATGACAGGAACATAGTGATATATACACAACCAGAGGCCCTAGCTAATGATCTGGGGAAATGGTCTAAATCCCACTATGCAGATTGTGAAATTTGAATGGAATTAATGAATCTGGATTATAAAGATGGTAACTATGAAACTGTTATCAATTGCTGTTAAAAAAACCCATCTGGTTCACTAATGTCCTATAGGGAATATTATAATCCCAAATGATGTTACCCCTGGACAAGTCAGATCCCAGAATTGTATCTGGCTTGATAGATCATGTTTTGTTCTTTTTTTCAAAAGGTCACTGGGCCAGGTTGCAGATTAGGTTGTAACAGCAAAGCAAACGTTTATCATGCAAAAGAAAGACAAATAAAACAAACTGAGCTATTTACACGTATTGCTGTTTAAAAGATTTCAAATACCCAGCAAAACAAAATCCCATCTCCTCAATGTCATCAATTTACAGTTATAATAGAGTCACAGAGTTATACATCATAGAAACAGACCCTTCAGTCCAACTTGTCCATGCTGACCAGATATCCTCAATTAATCTAGTCCCATTTGCCAGCTTTTGGCCCATACCCCTCTAAATCCTTCCTATTCATGACCCATCCAGATGCCTTTTAAATATTGTAATTGTACCAGCCTCCACTACTTGCTCGGGCAGCTCATCACCTTCTGCATTAAAAAGTTGCCCCTCAGGTCCCCTTAAAATCTTACCCCTCTCATCTTAAACCTACACCCTCTAGCTTTGGAATCCCCTACCCTGGGGAAAAGAACATGGTTATTCACCTTATCTATGCCCCTCATGATTTTCTAAACCTCTGTAAGGTGACCCCTCAACCTCCGATGCTCCAGGGAAAATAGTCCCAAGCCTATTTAGCAATCAAAATCCAGGCATATTTTCTGTCAGTTTGATGTAACTGCTTTGTTTTAGTTCTAGTCCTGTGAGGCATGAAGCCTCTTTCAATTCACACACTGAGATAACTTATTCCCTTAAATGCTCTAAACAAACGCCTTTTTCCAGGAGAAGCTATTTCTACATCTAACATCAGACAGGTCTATCTCATATCAAATTCAGAAGCTTTTTTTTTTTCAAAACCTAGCTTATTCTAGCTTCTGCTAAGATAATGGCTCAATGTTTATTCCTTTCCTGTCATAAAACCCCTTAATATAAACAACATTCCATTAACATTCCAGGAGGACCTCAATCATCTGCTTTCTGATGCATGTTGGTTTAAAATCATGGTTCCAAAAAGACTGCCCTAGTTAATAATTAAACACTTACATTTAAAAATTAGGCCAATACCCACATGCCACTAGTTTGAAATCCAAACTGTAAAAGAAAAGAATAAAGCAAGGAACTGCGGATGCTGAAGATCTGAAACGAAGGCAGAAGTTGCCTGAGAAACACAGCTGAAGCTCTGAAAAAGGGTCACTGCACTTTGCTTTCTCTCTCCACAAATGTTACCATACCTGTAAAGTTTCTCCATATCTTTTGTGAAAGAAAAGATATTTACATCTATACATTCCACACTTTCATCACATGAAGGTAATCTGCCTTTCTGACCTGGTCTGGCCTGGCCCACATGTGACTCCAGATTTTCCGCAATACTGTTAACTCTTAACTGCCCTATGAAATGACTAAGCCAGCATCTCAGTCTGGTGGCAATTAGGGATGAGCAATAAATCGTGCCCTTGGCAGTGATGCCCATGTCCCATGTGAAGAATAAATTTTTAAAAGTTGACACTATTTAGGTAATTAGGACTGATGGCATAACGCTTAGTCTAGAGGCAGGTTTCCTGAAAAGAGGAGAGGAACATGGCCGGGTCTTTTGGGCAATCATGAGGACTCCAGAGCCATTTCAAAATGGCTGGCAGGATCCCATCTGGCATTCCTGCCCATCCCCCTCCTCCATTCTCAGTGTCTCCCTGCAGGCATGGGATAAGGGTGTAGGTAGTGAGCTTACACCCTACACTCCCAACCTGTCCAGCTCCACTACAAAGGTTCGGCATCCCCTAGCTCTCCTGCAATTTTCATGGACTGAGCCCAGCTTATCCTTGACCCATGGTTCACAAATCTCAGAAGAGATCTCCACACCAGGTCATGACCCCTCACATGACTCCAATGAGACTTCATGCCCTCCTTGCCAACTGTAGTGATTAGAACCATAGCCAGGTGGATCTCATTCACCATTGGAGTTGTTAACCTGGGCCAATCAGGGAGTCCTGGCTGACAGATATAAACAAGAGATTCAGAAGGTCTCCTCAGTCCAGGCTCTGGCTTTGAACTGACTGGTCACAGCCAATGTACAGTGCATATGTAAATAAAGAGTGACTTGGTGATGAGATACCAACCTCTGTGCAGTTATTTCACCAACCCATAGCACTTCCCTACTCATTCACTCAGTATGCATTGCGTGTAGAAACAATCAATCCTATTGTAACAATGTTATGTATGAAACTGCTACAAAACACATAACTTTCCTAAACTGCTGTTATGATGTGTCAATCAGCCAGACATGTAAAGTGTCAGTAAGAGAAGCTATAAGCACTTAACACATCTTTACCTTGGGCAAATAAACTTGAGCCATTAACAGAAGAGATCACAGAGAAAAGAATAGCTTATTATAACATCATAAAAGTGTCAATCAAGCAAAATGTTCACTTCTCCTTAACTCAGTCAATTGTTAACGTTTAACAAAACAAAAATTGCTGGAGAAAGTCAGCAAGTCTGACAGCATCTGTGGAGCATCAGAACTAAACAAGTGTTATTGACTCAAAACATTAACTCTGTTTCTCTCTCTACAGATGCTTCCAGACCTGCTGAGTTGCTCCAGCAATTTCAGTTTTTGTTTCACAAATCCAGCCTCTGCAATTTTATTTTAGAGTTCATGTTTAGTTGGGAATCTTTGCTCACAGACAAGCTGGATTATGTATGTTCAGTATGGACTGGCTGGAACGAATGGTCGGTTTCCATGCTGTATGACTATGACTATATGCAGTCTGTGGGATCTTACTGTGAACATAGGAACACATTGACAGGAGGAGCCTATTTGACTATTCACGTGTGACCTACCATTCATTGAGTTTGTAAATGATCTGTGACCTAATTCCATGTTGCCACTTGTGCATATTGTTAAACTATAGGAAACATGATGGCCAATGTGCTGAAAGCTTCATTAGCTGTCAACGTTTTGTGATATGAGATAATGCATGGTGCTTTATAAATATATTTGTTTTCTTTTAGCCCAAGAAGAAGACAACACCAACCTTAGCTATGAGGTGCTGCCTACGTCCTTCCTTGCACTGCTGGGATCTTTCGTTCCTTTTCTCCCAATGTTGGTTTTTCACCATCTGTCAAAAAAATAGATTCTCTTTAATGTCCACAACTTTAAAGGAAATGGAAGGCGCTAATTTCCTTGAGAGAAAAACACAACGTAAACATCAGTGACACACAGGCACCGGATCAGAAACATCTTTAGCAATAAAGTCAGCCAATTAGGCTTCACCAATCCATCCATTCTGATCGTGTTCAAAATCCACCTTCTGGCGTGAGGTAAAACAGATCTGGAGATGGTGGAAGCAAACTTGTCAAGTTCAGTCACTTCATAGCAGTGATCAAAACACAAGCTGGGTCACTTTCTGCGGCTTGTAACGCTCCCATCGTTACTGTTAGATTTTTTTTGGGTTCATATTCCATTCCAGCACACAGTGCAATATTCAGTGAGTACAGAGTGTTGAGCAGCCCCCTTATAAGGCCATAAGGAGTAGGCTGTTTGGCCCCTCAAGCTTGCTCTGCCATTTAATAGGATCATAGCTGATCCAACACATCTCATGTGCACTTTCCCATGTTTCCCTGACTGATCAAGAATCTATCTATCTCAACCTTAAGTATACACAAGGACTCTGCTACCACACCTCTCTTTGGTAAGGAATTACAACCCTCTGAGAGAAGAAATTCCTCCTCATCTCAGTCTTAAATTTATGCCCCTTTATTCTAAGACAATTCCTTCTGATCCTAGACTATCCCATGAGGAGAAACATCCTCTCAGCATTTACCCTGTCAACCCCCTTAAGAATCCCATATGTTACAATGAAATCACCGCTCTTTCTTCGAAGCAGCAGTGAGTAGAGTCCCAACCAGTTTAACCTTTGCTCATAAGACAATCCCATATTCATTAATACCATATGCATTATCAGAGAAAGGGCCATTATTCCCTGTGATCGGGTCTTCCACAGTAGCTGTAACTCAATAAGTATATCAGTGGCCGCAAAACGTTCTGAGATGTTCAAAAGCTGGGAAAGACTAGGCCCGAAACGTCAGCCTTCCTGCTCCTATGATGCTGCTTGGCCTGCTGTGTTCATCCAGCTCTACGCCTTGTTATCTCAGATTTTCCAGCATCTGCAGTTCCTACTATCTCTGATAAAATGCAAGTTCCTTCTTTAAGTAGACTATTGTATAATTTTGTAAAATGGTTAAGGCACTTATAGACTCATACAATTTTACAATAAAGAAGGAGGCCATTTGACCCATTGTGTCTGTACTGGCTCCTGAAAGAGCTACCCAGCTAATCCCACTGTCCAGCCCTATCTCCGTAGCCCTCTAAATTCAACTCTCTTTTGAAACCTCCTATGGAATCTGCCTCCACCATTCTGTCAAGCAGTGCATTCCAAATCCTAACAACTCTCTGAGTGAAGAAGTTTCTCCTCATCTCACTTCTGGCTGTCTTGCTGACAATCCTGAAATTGTGACCTCTAGTTACTTCCAGCCTGAGTACTGATTCCAGTGTCAGTGCCAATAAATGATAAAGTGGTGGAAGGAGTTTGTCGTTTTGTGCATGAACGGTGAGGTCACCATTTACCTATAATTCCTGGATGAGTCTTCCTAATTGTTTTGCATCCTCACTGCAAAGGTCCCCATTTGAGCTCAATTTCATCCTTATCTCTCGAATGTTGAATCGGACGTTCTGTTTGACTTCCTTGTAATCCCAGCAGTTCTGAGTGACATTGTTGGTGAGATCCATCAGTTTTTGAATGAATGTCAGAGCCGTCACTGTCTGTCCAGGCCAAGACTCTGTTTGTGAGATGGAAAACAGAACAGGAATTTTGCAAATTGCCAGATTTGTAAAGGCTCACTCAGTTCACTTTCTACTGTCCTGGTAGTGACAGGGGGAGATTGTGATATTGTAGTAATGACACTAAACTAATAATGCAGAGGCCCAGGTTAACACTTTGGAGGCGCGGCTTCAAGTCCCACCATGGCAGCTGGTGGAATTTAGATCATAACAACTAGGAGCGGGATTAGGCCATTCAGCCCCTTGAGCCTGCTCTCCCATTTAATACAACCATGGCCTCTACTCCCCTTCCCTGCCCATCCCCATATCCCTTCATCCTATTACTAATTAAAAATCTGTCTATATGCTCCATAAATTTTTTCAGTGTCCCAGCATCCACTGCACTATGAGATAGTGAATTCCACAGATTCATGACACTTTGAGAGAAATAATTTCTCCTCGTCTCTGTTTTAAATTTGCCACCCCTTAGTCTAAAACTCTGACCTCTCATTCTAGATTACCCCAGAAAAGGAAACATCCTCTCTATGTCAATCCCTGATTGTGATAAAAAGCCAACTGTTTCACTAATAGCCTTTAAGGAAGGACACTGCCTTCCTACATTTGACTCTAAACCCACAGAACACTGTGGTTAACTCTAAAATGGCCCAGCCAACCACTCACTTCAAGGTCAGTTAGGGATGGGCAGCAAATACAGTCTTGGAGTCAGACAGCACAGAAACAGACCCTTCGGTTAACCAGTCCATAGATTTCTTACAGTGTGGAAACAGGCCATTCGGCCCAACAAGTCCACACCGACCCTCTGAAGAGCATCCACCCAGACTCAATCCCCTATCCTATGCCTATAACAATACATTTGCTATGGCTAATCCACCTAGCCTACACATCCCTGGACACTAGGGGCAATTTAGCATGGCCAATCCACCTAATCTGCACATCTTGGGAGTGTGGGAGGAAACCAGAGCACCCGGAGGAAACCCACGCAGACACAGGGACAATGTGCTAACTCCACACAGACATGGTGTGGAGGTGCCGGTGTTGGACTGGGGTGGACAAGGTCAGAAATCACACAACACCAGGTTACAATCCAACAGGTTTATTTGAAAACACAAGCTTTCGGAGCTTTACTTCTCCTTCAGGTGTTAGTGAGAGAGGCAGTATCAGACACAGAATTTATAAGTAAAAGATCTAAGGGTCACACCATTGATGAGAATGTACTAAACAAACCTAAGATGTTGTTAAACCTTTAATCAGTTGGAAGGTTTTGATTGATTAATATGTATATGTAAATCCCCAAATTCCTTTCAAGTCTCTGTCCTGAGAGAACTAAAGGTTTAACAGTGTAAAAAAGAGACATTTTAGGTCAGTCCCTGCCTATTCAGCCTTTCTTTATAACTCAAACCTTCCATACCCAACAACATCCCAGTATGTCTTTTCTCTCTCCAGCTTAATAATATCCTTCCAGCAACATTCACATCCCAAGAACAAATATAGAAAAAAACACCAATGATGGAGCTCTTCATTGATCTTAGCAATTGATTTCTGTCAATTTTTATCACCTAAACATTGTAGGTATAAGAGTTTATTAGGGGCTGGGAATCCTGCAGTGAGTAACTCCCCTCCTGACTCCCCAAAGCCTCTCCACCATCTACAAGGCACAAGTCAGGAGTGTGATGGAATACTCCCCACTTGCCTGGATGGGTGCAGCCCCAACAACACTCAAGAAGCTCGACACCATCCAGGAACAAGCATCCCGCTTGATTGGCACCACATCCACAAGCATCCACTCTCTCCACCACCGACACTCAGTAGCAGCAGTGTGTTCTATCTACAAGATGCACTTCAGAAATTCACCAAAGATCCTCAGACAGCACCTTCCAAACCCACGACCACTTCCATCTAGAAGGACAAGGGCAGCAGATACACAGGAACACCACCCTCTGAAACTTCCTCTTCATGCCACCCACCATCCTGTCTTGGAAATATATCACTGTTCTTTCACTGTTACTGGGTCAAAATCCTGGCTTTCCCTCCCTAAGGCACCATGGACTGCAACGGTTCAGGAAGGCAGCTCACCACCAGCTTCTCAAGGAACAACTATGGATGAACAATTAATACCGGCCCAGCTGGCAATGCTCAGTCCAACAAGTGAATAAAAACTAAACTACATGGACTGCAGCGGCCCAAGAAAGCAGTTTACCATCACCTGCTCAAGGACAATTAAAAGTGGGCACTAAATGCTGGCCTTGCCAGTGATGCCCACTTCGTGTGAATGAATGAATGAAAAAAAATTGTCTGAAGATAGATCCAGACATGAGATGAGGAGTTCTTTGTGGGGAGACCTTTCGGAACCATAGGTCTAAAATTGTCTGCTTTTCCCATACATGCTGCACTCATGGCATATTATTTTTCAACTTACTCATATACTGTATCCCAAAATATTATCTTTATAGAATGAATCAATATATTCTGTTTCCAATCCCTCCTGGGAGGCTGCTCCACAGACTGCCCACTCATTCTTGCAATAATCATAGATCATAGAATCCCTACAGTGTGGAAACAGGCCCTTCAGCCCTACAAGTCCACACTGACCCTCAGAGCATCCCACCCAGACCCATCCCCCTGTAACCCACCTAATGTACATATCCCTCAAAAGATGGACAATTTAGCATGGCCAATCCACCTAGCCTACACATCTTTGGACTGTAGGAGGAAACCAGAGCACCCGGAGGAAACCCACACAGACATGGGGAGAATGTGCAAACTCCACACAGACAGTCATCCAAGGGTGGAATTGAACCCGGGTTCCTGGTGCTGTGAGGCAGCAGTGCTAACCGCTGAGCCATTGTGCTGCTCATTAATATTTCTGCAGGTTGGTTTCCTCTCGTTTGACTGAAACAGCTCATTATTTCCTTTTAATGCATTCATGGGAAGTGGGCATTGCTGGCTTGGGCAACATTTAATGCCCATTCCTAATTGCCCCTTGGACTGAATGGTCATCTCGAAGTGCAGTTTTGAATCAACCACATTTAAATGGGTCTGAAGTCACATGCAATCCAGACGCGGTAAGAACGGAAAGTTTCCTTCCCTAAAATACATTAATTTACCAGATGGATTTCACAGCAATCAACAGTGGTGGCAAGGTCATCTTGAGACTAATTTTATTTTAATTAATTCCAGATTTTTATTGAAATCAAATTTCACCATCCGCCATGGTGATATTCAAATCTATGTTCTCAGAACATTAGTCTGAGGTTCAGGATTACATTCCCACTACTGCACTGCCACATGATCCGATCCCATTCTTATCATCATTCTATTTTCTCTTTTCCAACAGGAAAATTTACCCAGTTACTTCTCATAACCCAATCACCTTGTCTCTACAATTTATCTGGTTAATCTCTTGTGCATTCAAAGTGTGTCCGATCTGAGTTGCCCATTGCAGATTGTGTAGGCAGCTTGATAATGTCTCATTTCTGAGCAAGAAGTTTATGTGTTCAAGCCCCCAACTGATCTCATAAAGGTCTAAAAAAATCATACAGTGAATAGCAAAGGTCTTTTCCCTGGGGTAGGGGAGTCCAAAACTAGAGGTGAGAGGGGAAAGACTTAAAAAGGGATCAGACAGGTAACTTTTTCACACAGAGGCTGGTGTGTGTTTGCAATGAGCTGCCAGAGGAAGTGGTAGAGGCCAATACAATTACAACATTCAAAAGACATCTGGACAAGTACAGGAATAGGAAAGGTTTTGAGGGATAGGGCCAAATGCAGCAAATGGAACTAGTTCAGTTTAGGATACCTGGTCGGTATGGATGAGTTGGAATGAAGGGTCAGTTTCTGTGCTGTATACCTCTGTGACTCTGAGTGAATTGTTCACAGAGAGGCGATGGCAGTGTTGTGTTACAGTTCTCTCAATGAGTCTGAATTGCTGTGGCAAGGTGTATGTCTACAAGTATATCACACTCAGGATAGTAATGATACAGGCTGTAACATTTTCCCATTTTGTGGCTGAGCAGGAATCTTTCCCATTCTTACTGCCTGCCATCGGGGTGTGCTGGAAGAATTCACATGCTAACATGCAATCTGTTCAGAAAAATTAGGACCGTTTGGCCCCTTGAGCCTACTTTGCTATTGATATCATGGATAATTTGTTTGCGGTCTCAACTTCACTGAAATAACTGCACAGAGGCCGGTATCCTGTACAAAATCACCTTTTATTCACATGTGCACCGTACATGGACTCTGACCAGCCAGCCCCTAGAATGAGGAGACTCTCTCAGGGAACTCATGCTCAATGTGATCCACCGGCCCTGGTACCAATCACTACATCCACAGTCACTGTTAACTCACCCCCCTCGATAACCTTTGACTCTCTTGTTAGTCAAGAATCTGTCTACCTCTGCCTTAAAAGTATTCAATGACCCTCACTCCACTGCTCTCTGGAGCAGAGATTTCCAAAGATTCACAACACCACGAGAGAAAAAGATTACTCTCATCTCAATCTTCGGTGACCCTTATTATCAAACAGTGTCCTCTAGTCTCTTCTACATGAGGAAACATCATTTCAGGTTCCATTCAGTCACATTCTCAGGGTAGAACAGGATCACATCTCATTCTTCTAAATTCCAACAGAGACAGGGAAAACTTGTCTCTTCAAGATAACACTCACATCCCCACACCTCAGAACCAATCAAGCGAACCTTCTCTGATTTGCTGCTAATGCCATTTCCTGAGCCATTGAGTCCT